AACCCCGAGCGACACTTTCACTTTCAGAAGCTAAAAGCCCCGGGCACGCCCCGAAATTCCCAGCAGCCCCACAGGGGAATCTCTCCCCGCCCCCTTTGCTCCCCAAGGGCCTGGGCTGGGCGGCGGCGGTGACCGTCTCCTGCCTCCTTGCCTGTCTGTGCAGGCTTCCCCTGGGGGGGGAAGCAGAGCTCCAGTGAGCTGCATGCAAGATGCTGCTGTCTGCAGCTCGCCGTGCAAAACTTAGCTCCCCTTCCCCGTGGCCGCAGCCCCACAGGGGAATCTCTCCCCGCCCCCTTTGCTCCCCAAGGGCCTGGGCTGGGCGGCGGCGGTGACCGTCTCCTGCCTCCTTGCCTGTCTGTGCAGGCTTCCCCTGGGGGGGGAAGCAGAGCTCCAGTGAGCTGCATGCAAGATGCTGCTGTCTGCAGCTCGCCGTGCAAAACTTAGCTCCCCTTCCCCGTGGCCACAGGCTCCCTGGCTGGGGCAAGAAAGGAAAGGGGAAAGGTATGTAAAGGCTCCCTCCCTGCCTCTTCTGTGCCTGGCAGTGATGGAAAGGAGTCCCGGTTCCAAAGAAATAACATCCTCCTCCCTCTCCTCACATGCCTGGCTGAGGGCAGACAATTCAGTGACACAAAGGGTGACAGCTACAAAATATCCCCCTTCCTTCCCACCCCCAGCAAAAAAAATCAGTTGCCCTTAGATGGTGAGCAGAACTTGCAAGGGTGGGGGACCTAAGGCCTGGGGTCCCTGGCTTGCCTGGATCCAGCCGGCCCCAAGGTTCAGAACTCCCTCCCAAGCATCTGGTAGTCTATGCTGGTGTTCCAGTCCCATGCCCCTTTCCTGCAGTGCTGGAGCGCCAGCATCAGCTCCCTGCTACACTCTTGCAGGCAGGAGTCTGGCAAGCCAGAGCTGGAACCAACTGCCTGTCTGGGGAAGGAAGCAGCTCCCTGCACTACCCCTCCTGCCAGCTGCTGCAGCAAGCAAAGCATTGCCTGGAGGCTTTTCCCCCCACCCCTCCAATTGGCTGTAATCATGGACAATAGAAGCTGCAGGGGGCGCTGCCTGGGTGCAAGGAGGGACACAGACCCATGTGCATCCATGGGGAGCTGCACCGAGTAAGCACCCCTCCCTTGCCCAGACTCAATTCTCTCTCTCCACGCCTGCACCTGCCTCCCAGACCCCACACCTCAAGCCTGCTTCCCAGAAGCCCCCCTCCCATACACTAAACCCCTCACTTTTGGCCCAGTCTCAGAGCCTAGGAGAATCTACTAGCCCGTCCCCACCCTCCCATGCTCTGGTATGTGAGGGGAATGTGGGGGAGTGTCTTTCTACTTCATAGTCAGGGGCCACATCAGCAAAGTGTTTTTTTTCTTTGTTTCTCACTTTTGTGCAGACTCTCACCCTGAAAAGGTTCCCCATCCTTGCTTGAGAGTATCAATAAGACACCAGTGGAGAGAGGACAGGGATGGGGAGAAGAAATGGATGGGGTTGAGGAAAGGTGAAACAATGTTGGGATGAGAATAGTACAAAGACCAACTAGGAAGCCTCAGAAAACACAAACAAAACTAAAAGGACAGAGGAGAGAGGTCTGAAGGAGAAATAAGCTGAAAAGGAGTCCTGCTTCTATGGTAGTTGTATAAAAATAAAGTTGTATAAATGCTGGTGTCTAATTATCATTTGCAACTCCAACTGTGTCAAAAAGTGGAAACATTTATACAAGCAATGAAACTGCACGTCAGGAGCACCAGAGATGACAGTCACCATGGGAACATTATCATTTCCCATAAACTGTACTGATAGCACAGAAGTTCAAGGAATGGTCAAGAGAAGTGCAGGATTACTGTATATGGAGAAAGAGACAGAGAGAGACACGTGTGAGTAAGATAAATATTGAGGTGAAAAAGAAGCTAGATTACATTCAATCCAGATTGGAAAGAAATTACACTAATACGAGGAAAACAAAGCAGGAGCTCTGATTTTACCTTTACTGAAGATGTGTGCTCTGGTTATCATTATGTCTTGTGCTCCAGCTGGACTCATTGTTTCTCCAAAACATCTAAATAACAGCAACATGTTTTTTTCCAGTATCAGCAAGCTAGGAGACTACCTTCTTGCTTACTGCAGTTTGTTCAACATTGGACTACTTTGAAGGCTACATAGAAAAGTCCTCATGCAGTGAACAGCCAGATAGATAAGCCAGACCAACAAGAGCACATCCCATTAGTGCCTGACCCTCCCATTTGGTTCCCTATCCAATTGTATATCCATTTCAAGGTTTTAGTGCTAATCTTCAAATATTTCAATTTGTCCTCTAATCTTTTCCATCCATGTGTAGACTTTTCCCATTCATGTGCAGAATAATTTTATGTATACTGAGGCATATGGAAATATGCACCACCAGAGAAACAGAAAAACCAAGGGGTTAATCAGGTGGGTGGCATTTGAATTTCTCCAGCATGGATGCACAAGCACACTGCTTACAGGGAACATTGGCTGAGGCCTAGATAACTCAAAGATTCTCTGTGCAATCCTGCTGGATAGTTGAGATCAATGAGGTGTACACATTGTGGCTCTACAGTGAAACTGGAGATCAGGGCAAAAACCCTGACATAGAACACAGTGCCAGACACCTCTACATATGGTTAATGAATGGCTGACAGCTCTTTTTCCAGAAAAAGAAACGAGAAAAAACATGGTAGTGAAATCATGGAGACGAGACAAGTGTTATCTTTGGCTATGTCTAGACTGCAGGCTTCTTTCGAAAGAGGCTCTAGACTGCACGGAGAAATTTCGAAAAAGCGGCTTGCTTTTTTGAAAGAGAGCACCCAGCGAGTCTGGATGCTCTCTTTCGAAGACGGCCTCTTTACATTGAAGAACGCCTTCTTTCGAAAGAGGAGCTTTCGAAAGAAGGCGTTCTTCCTCGTGAAATGAGGTTTACCGCCATCGAAAGAAAAGCCGCGTTCTTTCGAAATAATTTCAAAAGAACGCGGCTTGAGTCTGGATGCAGGGGAAGTTTTTTCGGGAAAAGGCTACTTTTCCCGAAAAAACCCCTGAGTGTGGACACGGCCTTTGTGAATTAATTTTTTCATTTCTTAATTGTGTACTTGATGGCTACATAGCAGGCTACAGTGATGACACGTTAGGAACGACAGGAAGAAAGACAAGTCTTGAGAGGTGCTGAGCACCCATAACTTGCATTAACTGCAACTAAGAGCATTTCCATGGATTTGGCTTATAGAGAGAGAAAAGGCAGATGGAACTACAAATGGCATTGCCTGTAAGCGGCAGCTCCCAGCAATGACCTTCACAAACATAGGGACACATCTAAAGAAGGAAATGTGGAGCATAAAAGAAAACAGTACAAAAAGGGATCCCCATAAGCTACAGTACAGTTCAGGCATTGCTGTGTTCTGGCTATTTTCAGCTGTCATAACAGCCCATTCTGGCCAAAGCCAGCCAGGCATAAAGTAAGGCTACTCTAACTTATACTGGGGGCTGAGCCCAGAATTAGGGAAGCACATAGATGGAATAAAGGTACCTTTACCACTAACCCTGCCTATGCCAAGCAGAGCTTTGGAAGAACATGAGAATCCAGATGAATTGCCTTCCCTTTCCTAATGCCATTGAAAAATCTTTGGAAGCAGGTTTGGGCCCTTTCTTTCTGAGTTGTGTATATTCAAACTGATAATTGATGCCCCCCACCAGTCACATTTGTTGCCAACATTTTATTCACCCAACACAATGTCCCTTGCAGCCTGGGTCCAGATGATTTTTCAACACAGTTCTGAAACATTTCTGCGGTTGTTTTTTGTTGATATAAAGGGAAATGTATAGATAGCATCAGACAGGAAAATGTTGTATTTGGAGGACCAGGGGCAGCCCGTGGATGTAGGCAACCTTGTCAGTTGCCTAGGGCGCCACGTTAAATGCAGCACCCAATGATGACGCCATTGAGGGCTATGGAGGTGGGGGCGCCGATCGCGCATTCCACCTAGGGCGCCAGTTGTCACTCCTCGAGCCGCTCCTGTGGAGGACCATTGCCCAGAACTGTA